CATTGGGGAAAACAAAAACAAACAAAAAAACCCCGGCACTGACTGGCAGTTCTAGCTGCCAACTGGGTCGCTGGGGCCCCGCCTACATGGCACGAAGCAGGGTGACAGCCCCAGAGGTCCCAGCCTGGGCCCCGCTGCCCGGGGCGGGCTCTGCCAGGAGGCCCTAGAGCCCCCCAGCCCCTGCTTCTATGGTGAGTAGAGGCTTGTTTTGGGTTTTTTTTAAAGTACCGGAGGCTGGGGTTGGGGGGGGGGGGGAAATGGCACCTGTGGGGGGCAGCAAAATTATATAGTTATGTATTCATGAAACATGTACTTAGAGTTCGCTTTATTATTATGACAGAGACACTGGTAGTCTTCCAATTTCTTTAACACTGTAGATAAATCAATAAAACACTGCCTAACTGATCGCTGTCTCTCTGTTTCACTCTATATATATATAGAGAGAGAGAGTCTTTTGTTTTAATTGTGGAGGAACATGGATCTTGGGGTATTTTATAGAGTGACTTTGGGATTTTTTTATCAGGGTTTTTTCAGTTTTCCAATAGGGAACGCCAGAATTCCTGCTAGGGAGGCCAGTCGCAGGACCCTGCCTGCTCAGAGCTGGCACCCTGGAACCAGCTGGCTGTGCCTGACCTCCTGGCCACTTGGGGCCAGGAGGACATGCTTTGGCAATTCAAAGCAGGCCACTGCACCTGGAATATCTTCTGGGCGATAGCTGCCCAGATGACTAGGCAGCAGGCACACAAGGCCAACTCTGCAGCCACAGCTCACTGCAGCTGGCCCAGAGGGGCAGATGCCTCATCCAGGTCTGGCAGGTGCGCAGCAGGTCACAGCCAGGCAGCAGCCCCCACTGCCAGACTGCTGCAGTGGGTAAAGGTGCAGGGAACTCTCAGGGCTGCTTCAGCAGTCCAGCTGGCACAAGGGGTAGTGTCCCCAGGTACCAATTGGCTGGGCCCCAGAAGCTCCTGAGAGCAAGTAGCCCTGAAGCTACTTGCCAGGGAAGCTTTTTGTACTGATGGGGCCAGGACAGGTCAGCTTTTTATACTGCTGGGAACAGCACAGGTGCTGGCCCGGGGCTCTAGCTCCCCCTGGCTGCAGATCTGGGAGGAGCCAGGCAGGGTTATTTTGCCCCAAGTGGCACAATTTGCTCCACGACAAAGTGCATGTCCGAGCATGTGCGCTGAGGCAAAAAGCCCCAGCTCAAATTTGCACTGCTTCTGTCTGAGCTGCTGCAAGCAAACGTGACTGCATGTGTGGATGTGCTCCTTAAGTGCATATCATCTTTTGGCCCCTGCACACTCTTCTCCAAATTTTACTTTGATTAACTGCACAATACTAGTTATTGTCTACTTTGTAACTCATCACACTGTCTTTAGTTGATCCAGAAAAAACAATGGGGAAGCAGTTGTTAAAAGTCTGCTCTTAGAAGCCTTGAAAATTAAGACAGCCAGTTAGTTTCAAGACTTTTATCTCTCCTCATTTTCATTTCTAATAACAGACTCAGAACTGTCTTGAAAGGAGGGAAACTAATAAGTTTCAGGGCTACTGTCAAAATACTTACAACTTTGTAAGCAATGCTCATTATTTACATGGCACTGTCTGCTTATCTTTCTATATGCAAAACCCTTAACTTCTTCTCCTGGTTCTTCTGCTGCACCCTGACCTTAGTCCAACTTCCCAGCATCAAGGCATTTGTGTTGTGGTAAAGCTTCCCTTCCCAAGCACAGGAGGCCTGCCTCAACAAGGGGCAGCATTCCAGGGTACCTTTCACAGTGCAAAGTGCATGAATTAATGCCCCCCAGGCCAATGCTCCCTCTTACCACATATTCATCGATGAACTGTCGGAGGTCCTTAAAGCCATGTTTTTCTGCGATATTATTTGGATAGTACCCATATTTGTTGGCTACACTGTAGGCCTGCAGGGCTCCTGGGCATGTGAGCAACAGAGCCGTGAGGTTCTTCAGCCCATATTTTGCAGCGAAGTGAAGCAGTGTTGGCAGCTCTTCATCTCTCTGGTCTAAGAGAACACATGGCTTTTTAAAATCAAGTTCCTCTCTAATGTTGTTCACTGGGTGTGTTAATGCACATACCAGCAAAGGGGGACAGACACAAAATTAAATAGCTTTCAGAATACTACATCATTTCAAAATGGAGAAACCTTTGTATGTATGTAACTGCATGGAACAGATGAGGAATGGCTCAGCCATTGCCTTTTGGGATGGGGTGGGGAGGGGAATCATCCTTGCAGATCATAGGAGTTCTTTCTGAGTATTAAAAGGGGCTGCTTATTCAGCGAACCCCAGATGCGTGGCACACAGGGAAGATCGGGAAAGTAACCACACAGGTGGGCAATAGAGAAAAGGGCAAATGCTGTCAATAGAAGGGCTCTTGGAGTGCTGTAAAAGATTCCCAAAAGCTATGTGAGAATCCCAGGATACCCAGAAGAACCTCAGCCACAACTAACAGCAGTTGGGCTTGGAAAGGCTTCTCCAATCCAAATGGCTTGAAATATAAAAGTTGCATCAGCAGCAGCTAGTAAACTATGTTCAGAGACTCTGGCCAGATCCATGAGCATGGAAGCAAGTACTACCCAGGCAGGTACTAGTAATTCCAATGCTCACACTCAATATGGCTTTTGCTATACCCAGAGTGCACTCTGATAAAACTCAAAACAAAACAGCAGACCAAAGTTTAGGAAGGACTAGTGATCTCCAGTGTCCAACTTAAGCCCTTGAAGGAAGTCTCATTTTCAGAGAGGAGGTTCTCAACTTTCTGAAAATTAGGCCCTTTACAATAGTGGATCATACTTAGCATCTATCATCATCTCAAAGTATTCCTGAAAATCTTGGCCACAGACAGCTCAGGTATGTCAGAATGGACAATGCAACGTAATGGATCCTTCCTCCACATTTCTTAAGCGCTTGTATTTCTATTTTGCATGATGCTGTAAGCAAATCATTTTGCAGTCATTTATTATAGACAGAAAGTTATTTTGAGGAAGTCATTTTTAAAGCACTTACTTGTTGTCATATCTTCTTCCTCCAGCTGGTTGATTCCAAACAGGTGCAAGCCACTTGCAGGAATGTTTTGCTTTAGTGATTCTGTCAACAGTTTGTCCAGAGTTTCTATGTCGTATGGTACTATTTTAAAGGCCTAAACACAAATGAAGAGTAATTTAGCTCAGGGTATTTTTAATTGAGACATTCAGGTCACCAGTATATAAAGAAAGTTAAATAAATAAACCTTATGAAAACACAAAAAAGCCACCAAAATCCCCCCTAAAACCACAAACAAACATACTCAGAGGACCAATGTTAAGATCAGGCAATTTTCGTTGCTTCCTGATGTATATTCACAATAATGTATTTAGTGATGTGATTAAACAGCAGTATTCAAGCTGCCTACTATGTTACTGAGAATCCTAGTTAGACAGCCCAAGGAACAATCATGGAATGGCAACATTTGACTTATGTTTTGGAATGGGAGTGCCATGAAAGCAGAACACAATAGAAAATATCTCTGGTTCAGCAATCAGCGTAGGCTCACTTCCACTGACCTCTAATGTAAGGAAGTGGCAGGAAGGGCCAGATGAGCTGACTGAGGTTTATCTCTTACATCAAGCAGACACTACCCATTTGGTATGAATTCCAGCTTGTTTTCATTTATGCTTTGGGTTTTCAGGTTGTTGTATCAGATCTAAGTATGACCCAAGTACAGTCACAGCCTAAGACTGTCCCCTACTGTGCCCCAGTCCAACTAAGCTGAAAGGGTCATGACTGTTAGCTACTGTGCAGGCTTCTGCCGTGGATATATCAGTGAAAGTAAAGTGACATATGTAGACAGGAAATGAAGGCCATAGGACCTGAAGATTTCCCTTATTAAAACATTAACAGTAAGCTTACTTACCCTGACTACCCCAGTGTTTTCAAATCACTCTAACAGGTTCTAAAATATAGTGTTGCCAAGCTAAAACAATAATGACAGGAACACTTTGACGGAACTTACAGAAATTGCATAAATGATCAAAAACAAACATTTAATTATTTTTACTTCACTCAGTAACTTGATTAGATTCATATGTTTGCATAGTGCCTTGTGTACAGGTTTCCAAATGTTATATTTCTTAATGATACTTCTGTTATATCAAGGGGGTATTTTTTTGCTATTTTTAAGTAATAAATTGAGGGGTGATGTTCATTTTCTTTCATCAGCCAGTAGATGTTGGAGTTACCAGATCTAGTCATTTGCCTCAGAGGGAGAAAGTTAATCCTACTCTTGCAAGGGATGTGGGAAATTGTTAAGCTTATTTGACAGTAAGAGCAAGAAAAAAGTTGCATATGTTTCCTTTCTTCAGGTGAGCTATTTTATTCCAAGAGTTTAGTAAATCTAGTTGCACCTCACATCTCCCTCCCACCCCCAAAAAAGTTAATATCAAAACCAGCTGTTTGTCTATAATCATTACCTGACACATGAACTCCACTGGATTAGCTGCATTAGCCAATAGGTTGCCGATCTCTTCCATGTCGGTGTAATACTTGATGTTTGCTTCCCCTACCAACAAGTCACCTGAATATATCCGTAGAGACACTGGCCCAGATGTTAACTCTTCAAAAATAAAGTGCAATAATCATCACTGACAATAAGCAATGAGAACAAACTCCAAATATATGTTCCAGCCTGGCTGCTAGCACACAGCTAAATCACAGCACTTCAGCCCCTGAGTATGGTGTCTCATATCACTCCAGTCCCAGGTTTCATTGGAACAGACTCCAAACCAGCTGTACTGTGCAACTTCTTAGTGATTCTGTATGCCCATCAACTTCATAGGTATAAGTGCAGGAAGCTAATTTCCCTGAGGCTCTAGGAACTCTGCCCTACAACTTTAATCACACGATCTTCTCTCTATACTTTTAACCTTGCACTTTTCCCACTAAACTTTAAGCCAAACATGGAAGTTTGGGTTTGCAACTCTAAAGATTAGGGTGATTTACAAACCAAGAATAAACACAAATATTTGCATGCATTAAAAAAAAAAAGTCACAATATCCAGTTTCACCTTTATATCCAGTTTTACCTGGATTCTCACACATTACAACAATGCTGTTCCATTTGTGTTTTTAAATTACTGGCATTTCTTTTCCTAACAAACTGACAATGTGGTCCTGATAACATGTAGCTTTCTTCCATGCTTGTTCAGCTTTAGAGTTCTTCATAAGCCAAACTCTCTCTCAGACTTCCCGCTGAGGTGAGTGAGCATTACTATCCTGTTCTTACTGGCAGGTGAAACAGAGCCATTGAACATAGTTCTCTCCCAAATTCAAAACATGAGAGCACAAGAACTGGGAGTAGAAGTTTAGGATTTCTCCAGCTGTACCTCTGTGTTCCAGCTGTGCAACTCTGCAACTCTATGGCAAAGGAGAACAAAAACCTTCTGTTCCCACAGGAAGAGGTTGTACTTACCTGGTGCCTGCACAGAAACTGTGTACTCATTTTCCATCCTGGCTGGCACACGCACAGATGGGGCATTCCCTGGAGTGAATTCAGCTTCTGTTTTCACTTTACCATCCATCTTGCACTTCATGATTATATAAACAGTCATCTGCACCTAACAGTAAAGGCATCACATGTGGGATCAAAATTCAAGGACACATGCTTCTTTACAACTACTTCCCTATTCTTCCTGAGCTGAATTCAGCTTGGAATAACAGCCTCAGAATGGTGGTGATGCTTCCTCAGGGTATCTAATCTTCATTTGGAAGAAGTAATCCATTACAAATTACTGTTCAGAAACTGTTCCATCCAGGAAGAGCACACACCAACTGCTGAAACTTCCTTAGCCTGACGAAGGGTTTTTTGAACCCGAAAGCTTGCTTAATAATTGTTTTCCAACTATTTAAGTTGGTCTAATAAAAGGTATCAGATTCACCCAAAGAACCTTGTCTGCCTATGTTCAGAAACTGTTTTGCAGCCTGTATTATTATCAATACTAGGACTGTGCCTCTGAGTAAAAGAATAGGTGATGGAATTAGGTAGTTCCTGAAACTGCCAGGCATTCTAATGGTTGCATCTGCATTCACATAATGGATTTTGGAGCCATTTATATGGTAAAAAAAAAGTTAAAGCTCACAGCATTCCCATCAGCCAGATGGTGGCAGCACCTCCCATAACTGGGATCTCTTCTCAGTTGCTACTGCAATATAAATTATACCAGACTACATACATAGTGCAGATGAGACAGCATCCGGAGTCTTCGCTAATCACTCCTGTGCCTCTGGATTCCAATGCAGCTGAACTCCTACTACAGCCTACATCAGGGTGGTGTAGACAGACCTTTTGGCACTGGAAAGAACTGTAATCTCTCCTGCTTGCTAGTGCAGTTTCTGCTATATCTGCCTCTTAGACTAAAAGTGAATTTTCCCAAATAGTCAACTAACTAGCATGGCCACTATGACATTGCTATTTATGCTCAGGGCAGGATCAAAGAAAGAGACTTGGACCTAATGGATGCATCTACACATACTATTAGTGTGCATGAATAAACGTCAAAGCTTATTGCTCTGGAGTTTATTCAGGCACAGCACATTAAGCCAGGTCGGAGCAGCCCTCGTTGACAGGGGGCCCAGGGGGTTAGCCTGCCAGCCCAGGGATGCTCTCCCAGCTCAACGTGCTGCAGAGAGGCTGGCTTGGGCATGAGGGTGCTTCAGCGTGGGACTAGCTGGCAGGCAGCCCCTGCAGTGAAGCACCTTCGTGCCCCAGCCAGCTGAGGCAGCGTCTACACATGCACTGCTGTGGAATTTTTTACAAGTACTATCCTGCTGCAGAGTAAATTAGTTTACTCTCGCCTAATAGAGGTGCACATGTAGATGAACAAAGTTTACTGTGCAGCTAGTTAGTCAACTGTGCAGTAAATGTGTCATGTAGACGTGCCCAATGAGTTTGCTTTTCACATGGAAAAAAGCTTACAGTGGTCCTCAGATTATCAATTCCTTGTTTTAACCAATTGAACTATACCAGTCAACAGAGAGTAACTGGTTTGCAAGCAAATCAAGCAGATAAATTTACTTCACTTCTGCTCTGGTGTACTATGAAGTCCAGGACCAGATTTCCAAATTTTATCCTAGTGGTCAACAAGACTCCTAGCTATTTTTAGATAACAATATGCTGTCATGGCAATCTAAACCTTAAATGCTATTAAGTGCAGCACTAGTAATTTCTCAAGTAGCCAGGGCTGTAAAGATCACCAACAACCAAGATATAATCATTTCTACATTTTAATACATTAACACCATAATTCAGTGGTTCCCAAACTGTAGGTCATGACTCCAAATGGGGTCACAGAAACAGTGCACAGGGTCACAAGAAATAAAATCACTTTAATCCAAAATATGGCCAGCCAGGCACTTTCATCTGGCTTGCGGGTGCCCATGTAATTGTACCCTGCCCAACCCGCTTGCCTCACTCCCACCCTGATATGCAGAAGGGCCTGGCCCAGCCGGCATACAGCTTCCCGGTGGGGTTGCTGCTGCCACTGCTGCAGGTGCCGGGGTACTTGCTTGGCTTCCCCGGCATCCTCCTCGGTTCAGGTACCAGGTAGGGAAGCAGCAGGAGGAGGGGGAGTTATGGCTGGGCAGGAGCACAGACCATGGGGCTAGTGGCAGCACAGAGCCTGTGCCCAGGGAGGTGGTTGGACTGTGGAGCTTGGGTGGGCAGGGTGTGGGTGTAAAGGAGGGTGGGGAGGTATGGGGACACCCCTACACACTCCCCCGCATTGTGCACAGCCCCCACCAGCGGCAACAGCAGCAGCAGGCAGCAGGTGTTCGGGGCACTTGTGGCCTGTGCAAGCGCTGCCACCTGGCAGCACACAGCTCCAGCCAGCATTGCACATGGTAGCAAAGACCACAGCCGGGCTGGCCTGCCTCTATCGCATGGAGCACCCCATAAAACATATGCAGGTCCCGGATTTGAAACACAGAATCTCTGACTTGAAACACACACAGTCACACCCCGTCACAAAAATGCTTTATAAAAGTACTTTAAAAACAGATTTTCATATTTATATGCTGTATTATATGTTGTTCTATAATACGTGAACTTTATATACTGAATTTTGTCGTTATGCTGCTTTATTGCTGTTTTGTTTTCATTGACATCTGGGGTCCTGTGAATTTTCATGTGTTAAAATGGGGTCGTAATGGAAAATAGTTTGGGAAGCACTGCCATAGTTTATATGTGCCCTGCAGGTTCTTTCATGATCATTGTCTTTTATGCAGAACCCCAGGATCTCTCATCTCTGCCAGTGTGACACAGCTTATCAACAGCAGATAGCAGAGCCATTTCTAGGTACTATGGACTCCAGAGAAAGCATATACCAGCTTTAGGTTCCTATAAACTGACATAACTGTTAGAAACATACCCAGTGCCTACTGCAGAACTTCTAACATTGCGCTAGAGGCTGACTCTGCTCCTGTCCACATCATGTGAAAAGGAAATAATGTAAACTGGTGGTCACATTGCAACACATCAGCTCTGTTAAGCTGTTCAGTTTTAAGTCTCCTTTAACAGTCAGAGCTTCAAATTGTAATGTCATCAAATTTCACATTAAACAGGGTCAGGCTGAATTAGTTCACTAATCTCTGACTTGAAAACATATCCCAGGATACTGAGGAAAAAGAACTTGGTGATCCATTAGGTTGTGCTATTCTGACAGAGTTTGTTGGTACTGCACTTTATATATGGCAATGGGGGAAGTGCGGGGGGGAGGGAAACTTTGGTGAGAAGTGCTGTTTTACCAGCTGTAATCATTTGCAGGAATTGTCATGGGAGCATAAGAGCTGGGGTGTTGTCTCCATAACTTGAATCTACTGTAACTTGACTTATTACATCCCACCTATTTAGAAATCCTAATAGGATGCAGGATAAGCACATAAAAATCTGAACCTGTCCCATAACTCTCAGGATGAATGGCAACTCTATTTAGATCTTTGCCTGAGGTCCTCAATACAGCCAGGAAAAATTAGGACACTGACAGTCTTCAGTGCTGCTCCTAGGATGGGGGAAGGAATCTGAGGAATCAGGAACATTGAGGACAAGAGTGACAGAAAATGAATGAAGGGTAGTCTCCAGTATGGACCACTAGGGTACTGCACAATCCCAAAACAAGGACTCCAAAGAAGCAGCAGACATACTGTACCCCACAACGTATGTGATCAGGCAGCACCACCAGGTTTTCTGTGGTGCCCTCAGATGTTCCATGCTGTTCACTCATTGCAATTTTCCTGGAGTAAACTGGTTCTCTCTCGTCTTCTGCCTCTGTATCAGTCACAGAATCACAGCCAGAATCTAGACAAAAAACAGAGCTCCATTATGATATTCACACTTGCTACAAATACCTTGGTATATCAAACAAGAAAAGATGGAAAGAAAGAAAAAAACAGAAATTACTGTAATTCTTTTAACAAAGGCTTAGAAAAGGAGATCTAGCTGAGAAAGGGGAAGCTACTGATGTTTCCTCATTTATTGCCTGAAGGGGATAGCTGGGGACTGTTTGCAAAGATGCATATGGCTCCTCAGAAGTGCTGCAGCAGCATTTAATAAGCTTATTCACCAGAAAATCAGTTCTGTGCTGAGACAATCAGACCCATTCGCAATTGGTTAAAAAAAAATAAAATAAAATAACAATCAGACAATATAGTAACATTTCTTAAAAGAATCTCATCAACAGCTGAGCCTGCCCAATTCCAATAATAGCAAGGTAGGCACGTATCTGGCACAATTCTCTCCCAAAGCAAATAAAAGCTAATTTCTCTCCCATAACTTCAATGCAGGGGGTCTGCTTGTATAACTCCCTACAAACCCCTGGGTTAAAAAAAATAACCAACCTGCAGTAGTCTGACCTAGTAATCCAGCTCCTGAAGAAGCCACAGGTACTTAAGAAAGGGGTGGGCAATTATTTCAGCTGAAGGGCCACTTAATGGGTTTTAGTGAACTATCAAGGGCTGCACACAAAATCTTTCAGAAGATATCATTTTAACTAATTACAGATGAAAAAAAATCACACACTAAAAATCAAACATCTACTATAACATTTTAATTTTATTTTTTAAAATGTCCTGGTTTATGTTTTTTTGAGTAGTGTATATAAACATGATTGTATAACAGCTTAAAATAAAATCTTACTCTTGTATACTGTGTGGGGGAGGTGGGGGGGCATGTGGTGGTGGAGGGGTGTGCATGTGTGGGGGGCTGCTCATATGCAAGGTCCCAGGAGCCAGCCCAGGGGTGGGGAGGGAGTGGGGCTGGGGCTAGGGGAGGGGCAGGCACTGTACAGCCAGCAGGAGGTGGGACTGAGCTGTGAGTGGCTCATTGGGGGGGCGGGGGTGCAGCTTCTGCTACTACACCCCAGGAGGCATGGGGGGCACATGCCCCAGATCTGGGCAGGGCAGGGCAGGGTGAGCGGGGCTCAGCCCCATGCAGAGCGCTTGGGGGCAGGCATGGGCCAGATCCAATCCATTGGTGGGACCCCACCCACAGCCCAGATCCAGTCAGTTGGCCCAACGGCTATTTTGCCCACCCCTGCACTAAGACTACAGAATTAGAACAATTATACTGATTGAAAAGGAACAGGAGGGACTCGCTACTTGTAATCGCATGTCACCTGATTAATTTTATCTGTTTCCTGCATCCATTCTTATCCTACAGTTAGTGAAGTTAAACACCAGAATGAAAAAACTGCTAGATTACCATAGTTTACCTTCCACATATTGTAGTGCAGCTTAGACTCAGAAATACTAGTAGTTACAACTGATCACCTTAACCATGGCAAGTCCCTCCTTTCCTCCCACTTTCCAGTCACCATAATTGTTTCACTTGTTCGTATTCTCAGAGTGGAAGAATCAGAATCCATCCAGAGAGAAGTGAAATCATGAGGCCTAAGGGGAGACGCTCGGAGTAGAGAGGGAAGAGAGATGCAGCTACCCTGTACCTATGACAAATGTCTGTGTGCAAAGAATAGTGGCCTCCCTATGGTTTTCCACATCTATGGAAGTGCCAAAAAACTGAACATGTCTTGCTGGCAGTCATTAAAAGAGGCATCACAAACTAAATTAGGCACGCAGATAAAACTCACCTATCCCATTTCAGAATCCTGGCAGAACATGAAGAAGGCAGCAGTAACAGCTACTTATCCTGCAACCATTCTGTGGATTTAGGATTTTTGTCTGCAGAACAGTCACCTTTCACTAGCAGTATGGTCACACTAGTTTTTAAAAACCCAGAGTGAAATCATCGCCAGACAGTTGCCAAGTGTTCTGAAAATGTGTGAATTTTTTTGTGCGGTTCCTCATATTCTTAGATTTATAGTAGTCAGGGCTAATATTTTCAAACATGACCTAACTGAGCCATAAGTTTTTTTTAAAAGACTTAAAAATGTTTCTATTTAAATAATGATTTTTTTTTTAATTACATGTTGATAGTTCTTTGTAGTTAAGACTAATATGGGAAGAAAAAAAAAGAAAAGGAAAAAGAAAAAATATAAAACATTCACTACTTATACATCTCAGATTCAGCTGAGAATTTGCTAAGGGGTTTTCCCTATGGGGAAGTTTCACATTTAAAAAATGTTGATCTAAGACAGTGATTCTCAACCAGGGTGCCACTGCACCCTGAAGTGCCTTGAGATTCTTTCAGGGTGATGTGGGGTGCTGTGCAGTGTCAACCCTGTAGGTTTGCAAACATGATTCAATGAGATGCACACAAGATAAACCCAGAGATTTCAAATAGAAATCCATAGTTGTGGTCTTTCTGAGTTCTCTGCAGCAAGAAAACTGCTGTATTATTTTTCTGTAGTCAAAAAAAGAGTGACAACTAAGTGCTGGCATTCTCCAAGGGTGTCCCTCAAGTCTAAAAAGGTTGAAAACCATTGATCTAGGGTGAAAAGGATACTCCTGGCCTCAATTACATATTTGTCATATAAACACCAGAGATTCAAATTAAACTGATAATTCAATAGCTTTTATTATACATTTGCTAGCACCATAGCCTCCCATGAAAGTTCAAGTGGTTAAACTGGGCTCCAGGAGAAAGAAGCACAAGTTGCATTGTTTTCAAACAGTGAACTCAAAGGTCATCTAAGTGCTGAACTCTAGACTCTTTTTGCAATGTCTACTTAAGTGTGAGATTTCAAAAAAGCATCCATGGCTAAAGTACATGTAAATAGTTTTTCATTATTTACACTGAAATAATTTTGTTTTTATGTCACAGATTTGGTCATTAAGTTTAACAATATCATTTTAATCCCAGATGCTACAAACACTCACATTACATGTATGATTTGAAGCAGAAGCTGTTTCATTAAATGAATGGGCTTTTCTGGAGAGTAGAGTTATATATATGCTAAAGTGTGAACAAAATTGAAAGGTTCAGATCCCAGAGTTTTGTACAATTCAAATAAGAAAATCCACCAAAGGTGGCCTTAAAAATAAAATCTGTAATATGCTGTAGGTAATACATGTTAAAGCTTGAATGATCATTTCCAAATTAGTTTATTTAAAGAGAATTAAGTATTTAAATAGGGTGGAAGCTTTGTTAATTATTTATAATCAATACTGGTATCTTAAACTGCCTCTATTTACAAATCAGTCCATTCCACTTTGAGTGCCTATATTGGACACTATAAGCACATCCAGACGAGAGCACACGTGCCTCTTGCCATGTCTCAAACCCCTTTGAGACGTGTCAAGAGGCACGTGCGGGAACAAAAAAATGTTCTCCACGCTGCAAACTTGCAGTGCAGGGACAAAATTAGACCCCTGGATATCCAGAGGTAAAAAAAAAACACTCCGGAGAACAGCGGAGCAAACACAGGAGTCAGTCTTCCAGAAGAGATGCTCTGGTTTCAGCCAGAGCATCTCTGTGGTGCTCCTGCTGCCTCTGGCGCTGTCCAAGGTAAGTTGGGGAATGGGATTGGGGGTTTATGGGTGTGGGTGGGTGTTGAGTGTGAGGAGTGGCAGGGGGACGTTGGGAGTGGAGGGTGGTCTTGGGGGCTATGGGGAGTGGAGAGGGATGGGGATGTCCCAGTCAGTGGGGACATGGAGGGGCTCGAGCAGGGGCTGCCACATGCCTGCCCCCCCACCCTGGCTCCACAGCACCAGTTGCAGCAGGCAGCATGGCTGTGGCTCTGCTGTGGGCAGAGCAGGCAGTGTCGAAGTGCTGTGTGACCCGGGCTCCTACATGCTGAATGGACCTGGCCTGGCCTACTAGTCCCAAGTCAATCCACACATAGAGTATTACTATGCAGTAAGGCACATGATGCAGGTATCAAATTTACACTCAAGTTGGCATAAGTTGCTATATTTACTGAACAGTGCAGGCATGCACATGTAGACATGCACACATACTGTGAAGTAATTTCAGTTACTGTACAGTAAATGCGCACATGTAGATATGCCCATCGTCTAATATAGTTGAAACTGAAGATGAAGTACACTTAGACAAATTAGATCACTGGAATAGCTACCAATATAACTCAACACTGCCTTCAAGCCCTGATTTCTCTCTGCTAGTTCAAATTAATTGTTCTCTTCAGGCCACTGTCAGAACAGTACAGCTTCAAAAATTCTTGGTGAGCTCTGTCTATTCCCACTGGAACCAAGTTATTTTAATCCTGTAGAAGACAGTCTCCAATTTGATCATCCATCTCAGAGAATGAAACTGCTTTCCCCATGAGAAAAGCTACTACTCAAGTTTATGACTTGATTACAGCAATAAATTAAAATCCCTGACATTTATATGCAACCTAATATCCAGAGGGATCCTGAAGCACTTTAGATTATGAAGAGATCATGCCCCCTCCCATCACTGTGGCAGAACATGGCAAACTTACACAGCATGCAATTCACTCCATCTAAAACAGAGGCACTTTAAGAAAAGAAGGATTTATATGGCTCAGCCATTCCATCAAAAGAAGCTGAGGATAAGAGTGGGGATGAGAAAGAAGTCAGGCATTGGGAATGGCAATGGCATTAGGGTTTGTGGAGTCTGAAGAATGGCACCTTTTAAGGCTGAGACAGGAAATTGAGGGCAGGGCATGAAAAATACTAATTGATCTTCTTAGAACAGAACAGGGATACTGTGCAGAGGGGAAAGCAGATGTTTGAGCCTGGAGACAAACGCAGAGAGAGAAAAGCCACTGGATACCATAAATGCAAGAAGCTTTAGGAAAGCAGAGCTCTTCAAGGAGGAATGTAGCAGGACAGAGGAGGGAAAAGACAAGTTAGGGCACCCAGATTTTCTCCAAAGATACCTGGTTATATAGGACTGGCAGAGAAGGAGGCAAATGCAAA